GAGAGAGAGAGAGGGAGAGGAGAGAGAGGGAGAGAGAGAGAGAGAGAGAGAGAGGAGAGGAGGAGGAGGAGGAGGAGGAGGGAGAAGGGAACAACCTACCATCTTAACACACTAATATCTAAAAAGTGCGAGAGGCCCAGAGCAGCAGCAGAAGCAGCAGCAGCAGCTCCAGCTTCTTCCCTCCCTCCCTCCCCATGAAGAAGAGTTCCCTCCTCCTCCTCCTCCTGCTTCTACTGCTCAGAGTTCCTGCCTCCAGCTGCCAGGGGGGACAGCCAGCCAGCAGCAGGAGGGTGCAGTATCCCAGCTTTTCCATTCTCTCTTCTCCTCACTCTCCTCTCTCTCTCTTTTTTTTTTCTTGAGTAGCTCTATTTCCCCTCCCTCCCCCCTTCCCCCTCTCCTTTTCTCTCTGTCTTGTCTCTGGTGTTTGTCTCTGGGAGGAACAGGGGCTGCTTGCTTGGAGTTTGTTGTGGGGGGAGGTAGGGGGAGGGGAGGGGTGTGTGGGAGGGAAAGGGGGGTGCTCTAGCCAGGACCCCTCAGTCAACTTGAGATTTGAGCAATAACTTCCCCTTTGGGGCGCCCCCCTGCGTGCCCTTCCTATTCCTCCCCCCTAAAAAAAAGACAATGGAAAAACCTTGTCTCTCCCCCTTCCTCCCCTTCTGCCCTCCACCCCTCCCCAGGATAAATTGGAAGTAAGTTTATGAGCAGCCTCGGGAGCCTGGGCGCTGAGTGCAGGGCCGGAGCGGGTGACAGAGGCGGCGCACCGGGGGTGGCGGGGAGGGGGCGTCACATTGTCCCGGCGGGGGGCCGGGGAGGGGGCCTCCGGCGGGGGCGGGGGGCGCGGAGCCTTGTCCGCCCCCTTCGGCTCTCCCTCGGCCGGGGGGATGGTCCCCTTGGCTCTTTCATCACCACCCCCCTCCCCGGGATGCTGTCGGGGGGAAGTTTTTATTATGATTATTTATTTATTTATTTATTTTTAATTATTTTATTTTTTTTTTGGAAAACCATCTTGTTTGGTGACTGAGGGATCTGGTTTAAAAAAAAAAAAAAGAGCTGCGGCTGCTGACGCTGCCGGGCCGAGTGTGTGTGTGTTGGTGTGTGTGTTGGTGCATTTGTCTTGGGTGGCCGGAGCAGCGTTGGGGAAATTCCGCTTATTCTTCTTCTTCTGCAACTTGTTATTCCGGAGAGTCTGCCTGCACCCCTCACCCCGGGGCCGGCCCTCCTGCACTCTACCCCGCCGCCCGCGGCAGCGGGGCGCCCCCGGGACCCCGCGCGGGCCGGGGCTGGCAGGCCGCTCTGAGAGGGGCCGCGGCCGCCCCTCCCCCGCCCGCGCCCCCGCCGGGGGGAGGGGCGCGCGGAGTGGGACTCTTTCCGTTTGGTCCAGCCCCGTCGTGCACGCAGTTCCCAACACTTCTCGTCATCCTCTCTTTGGTCTCTTTATTCTGCTGAGCGGTGCTGTTAGGATTTCTTTTTTTCCCCTGACCACGTTCGCGATGGTGGGTAGCAGCAAGGTGGCCCTGGTAGGGGAGGGGTTGATATCGAGATTGGGCACCGGGGGAAGAATGTCTCCTTTCAACTTTGTCTGTGGCTTGCACCCCGGGAGAAGGCCACACGCCGGTTGTGGGGTGCAGATGTGCCGAGAGTGATTTCTAAGTAGTTGAGTTGTTGAGATGAGGTTACGACTGCTCATGGTCGGTAGGTTTTGTTTTCATTGGTGAATCTGGTGTCATCATATTCCGGTCATATGTTGAAATATTCTTTGTTTAGGTCTTGAAGTAGAGGATCTCACTCTGCACGTCCACACTGTGTTGTTTTTAAATGATGTCTCTCTCTGCATGTGTGGCTTTCTAGAATTTCAAATGTGAGTTGAGGTCCGGCCGTGTGTGGGCCTCAGCACTGGCCTTGACAGTGAACTTTGTGGCTGTGTTTTGGATTTCAAAGATTTGCCCCCTAGCCGGGGAGCAAGTTGTGCATTTTTGTTAAAATAGGTGTCAGGAATGATGCTTTAGCTGGGGACATTGGAGAAAGAAGAACATTTATATATTAATAATTGATAGCTGAATATTAGAATCAGATTAATTTGGGCCGATGAAAGTTTTTTTGTATTTTTTTTAAAGGAGTTGTGCACTCTAGGAAGGAAGCATTTTTACAGTCACACTTTATAGGGTTTTTTAGGGCGGGGAGCTGGAATATCTCCTTATGTAGAGGATGCTCATCAACATCTGTAGCTTCATTGAGGGCCTGGTAAAGAGACTGAAATTGGGGCTAAGACAGCTAAGTGTACTTTTCAGTGTTTATGATGTTTGTTTATATTTGGTGTTCACTTATGTTTGGGCAGTAGAAATAAATAGGTCAGCGTTTCACTTGGTTTTGAAGACTAGCCCCCTCCCCCCTTTTTTTAAGTTTCACAATTTACTTGGTTTCACAGTATTGTAGGAAACTGTTAGTACATTTGTACTGGAAATACTGTTATTCATTTTGATTTTGGTAAGTTCCTATTCTCTTTTTCTTTCTCCACTTGTATATGGTATCTACATTGTGGGCTTAAAACAAGCTCATTAGGGGCTATTTAAAATGTTTGAAGAATGCATTTTAAAATCTCAGGACATACTTTTTGATGGCAAAGGGGGAATTTTTGTGTGCAGTTACACATATTTATTAAAAAAATTCTGTACTTAAAAGTTCTGTAGATGTATAGCTATCCTTAAGTGAAAACCATAGTAATAGTGCAGAAAATTTTCAAAACACAAACTTTTGGCTAATGTTAAAAATACTCCAGGTGCTTTTCTTTTTGTCAGACTTTTGCTTTTGTTAACATAATAGTATCTGCAGTATAACTGGCATTGCTTGGCTGGCCATAATAGTCTTTTGCTTGAGTGCTTTTGAAGGCTTTTTAACATAGTTTTCAGATAATTTTGCAAGCTTTATTTAAGCATTTTACACTTTGGACTCAGGCAGGTCTTTATGGAACTGAGATACTAACAGATTAAAAAGACTCCTACCTAAGCCAGATTTTATTTTTAAGAGGCATAAGTGATGGATGGGCCCTATTTCTTTTAGCTTTGAAGAGTCCATCCTTTCCCCCATTCAATCATCTGGAAGAAGCTGCCTTAGAAATACTCTTCTTCTGCTTACATGAAGAGCTCTAATTGCTATCCAGCAGGAGGTGCTACAGCAAGATTAAGCAAACTGAATTTTCAGGGTCTTGCTACTTATGACAGCTCTACTTAGCTTCAACTAAGCAACAGGATTAACACCTTAAAGTTCCAGAGAGATTTGAGTAAGTCCATTTAAAAATTCCATTAATAAATTACGTTTGCTAGCTGAAACTGAAATCTTTGACTGCTCTTTACCTTCTTACAATATACAGAGTAGATTTGTTATTGTGGATAGCTTATGGGTGCTGCGCTTAGGTACAGAGTGCTGTTAGAATTATTTTATTTTGAAGAGGAGTTGGTCTTGTATTGATGAGTGGGGTGTTGGACACATTTAAAAAAAAAATTATGAGGAATGGCTATCAACAAAAGTAGTTTGTATGACTTGGGACTTTAGGTTTTGTGACCCCCCCTATAATAATGCAAATAAGATATAAAGTACTTCAGATTTTAGAAAGATACTGTGTGGGGAAAATTTGAGACGTTATGTGTTTATTTTTTTTCTTGAATTGATGAACAGTGACCCTAATAGATAAATTATTAGGCACTCAACTTTATAAATATATATGGTTTATGTATTTGAGTTGGCCTCCAAAGAGTGAGATTCTTGAACTATAAGTAAAGTTATATCTGTGGGTGTAGGTCACTGCTGATATATACATTAGTAACACTTAACAATACTCCATAAAGATAAAAGTAGTTTCATAGCATTTACAGCACAAGGTCGTTTGAAACTCTTGTTAGTGTTAGGTGAATTGGTTTATCACTGGAAATACGCTACTGTGGTGGCTTGTAAAGTTTTATATCAAAGTTTAAAAACTTAGGAATGTGTAGAAAATTTGATGGACCTGCTTTGAACTTTGTCTGTTTTCTAGGCATAAGGTTGTACTTTTTTCTCAGTAAGATGCAATGAGATTATAACATGTGAAAATTCTTTGTAAATTGTCAGAAGCCATGCAGATATTAAGTTGTTGAGATAGGTAGCTAATTAATACATGGACAGAAGCTTCTGTCTTTAAAATGTTAACTTTTGCCATATCTTTTGGGAAGTGAGTGTATACATAAAAAGTGCACCCTGAACACCTTATGATTTTTTTTTCTTTTCTTTAATACTGCTGTGGTTACCAAAAAGCTCTTTGTTACAGTTTTGAAGCTTTGTTTAAAAAATGCTGCCTAGGCAGTTTCTCATAATTCAAGAAAAAGATCATTTTTCCTTTTGTAGATCTTGTGAGATGTGTATCCCCTATTAGTTTTTCTTCATTTCTCCATTGATGTGATAGTAGTTGATTTTAGTGAATATTTAAATTCCCGGATTCTTCTATGGACTCTTATTTACACACATGGTAACAGATGTCACTGTTAAGGTTTTGATTATTTTGATTGATTCTGCTAACTTTCTGAAAAATTCTAAATAAAGCTTTCAAACCTCTTTCAAAGTGAACAAGATGTATATCTGTATGCATTAGTATTAGGTTCATGTGTATATCATTTTTTTCTGTTTTAGAGGGTTTCATGAGGAAATGACTATTAAAATCTAGAGGAGTACACTGAAATATTTTTGTGTAAAAATAACCCAAAAGTTTGAAACTCAGAGCCTTGAGTTGTGGCTTTCTTAATAGACTCTGCTTATAATTTTGGACCAAAATAAAATAAAATATGAATAATTGGGAGTCCCTGTGTTTATGAACATATCAAAAGGTGTAATATGTTAAATTTAAGAAATAACTGCTCTTTATGAAATAGCCCCAATTAGTAATTAAATGTAGAAACTTGCTTCTGTGAAGAGTGAGAAAAACATTTAACTGTTTAGATGAAAACGAAACCTCTCAGGGTACTGTTTACTTTTCCATTCCACAGACAGTGAATACTAAAGCTTTTCTTGAGGAAATACTGAAGTTAAGGTTATATTAATGTGCTTTTAAATTTTGTGTCCTTAATGTCTTATTGCTGAAGGCTTTTGTATTTAATTATTATTCAGAAGAGAAAAGGAAGAGATTAAAGTTTTAGGTCTCTAACCTTTGACAGAATTCCTTTATATCTGTATTCAGAGCTGATTTTTTAAAACATGTTTGAATCTTCATATTAATCTGTGCTGGGAAATATTAATGATTTATGTTAACTTCTCAGGAACTTTTGTACATGTGCTTTTTTGTGGGCTTTAAGTGTTCTTAAGGGAGCATAGCAATATATTCTGATCACTTTAACTTTACCAGGTGTGCATTTTTGCTGCTTTGAGATTATTTTTTAAAAGAGGTAATTTGTTAACACTGTGTTCAATTTATTATAGATAATTATTTCTTAAATAGCATATGTTTTCTTCTTTGTGTGTTTGTGTGTATATGTGGACATACTATAATATTTTGTAGGCTTTCATGTAATACTTAATTTGTATATCAAATTTTTGAACAGTTATCTTTTGTAATGATGTTGAAATAGACTTATAAGAATAGCTTTTATATTACTTGTCTACCAATTCAGCCTTAAACTGGGGTGGTGGTGAACTATTACCTTTTAGAGATAATATGTGAGGTTCAGTCATCTTTTGGGCTTTTCTAAAGCAACTGCCTTACACTAGACACTTGTTTGACAGTTTGAATACCCCTCCACTTCTCTCACTCCAATACACTGTAGGCCCCCCCCCCCTTTTATAAATAAAATAGTGAGCAAGTCTCATTAAAGGAAACTATTCTTTCCTGTATTTTGGGATCATCTATAGAAATGTTTTTCTGCTTCTAGGTAGACAAAAAAGTGAGCTGGTAATGCGGAGATAGGAAGGGGACGGGCCCTAACAGGTTGATGATCTAGGTTTTATTTTGACTCTGTCTGTGGGCCTAGGGGAGAAAAATAACTTAAACATAGAAGCCAAAAAGATGGGTTTTGTTTTATTGTTTTGGCTGCATTGAGAATACAAACTGTCAGTACTTGAGGAGAAGGAGCAGCAGAAAGGAATTGATTTTTTTTCTACTGCAGATCCAAGTATTGTTAACCATGTGTATCTCTAAAGCAGCACACTTACAAATCAAACTGTAGTTGATTCTTTCACTCAATTAACAGTGAGAGCCCCAAACTATTTTTTTTTTAATTTTAAATAAGTACCAAAAACTTCAGTGTAATGACAATAATTTCCTGATAAAAGTGGGTGATAGTAACCATGGCAACTGCTCTCTTTGGCCTTATGGACAGTATGTTGTATTGATGAAGCTTCAGATCCTGTAGTAGCCTGTCACTTTTATGGTGAAATGTAGTAGCATGTGTTGCAGGTGATTTTTAGCTGGATTGTGTTAAATTTGTTTGCCAGCTTATCTTTTCTTGTTAGGAATTTCTTGGACTGTATTCCTCAGCATGTTTGTGAAGGTGCTGTTGCCTGAAAATAACCCACCACCTGCGTTAGGCCTCCTGATGCAGATTGCCCATAGTTCTTTCCCAGCCACCTCCTTCACTCTTACAGAAAATAGGGGTGTGTGTAGAAACAGTATATACATAAACTGCAGCTTCAAGTTCTCTATTTGGGTTTGGACATGTTACTGATAGCTTAAAAAAAAAAAATCCCTGTTTTTAGAAGAGGTCTGTAGGGAGAAATGGGTCTGTAGTTGGAATACATTTTTCTAAGTGTTTTTTTTCAGACACGTGTGTGGGAGGTGAGGGGTAAGAGTGGAAGGCATAAATTTTGAGTTAGGACTTGACAAAATAGGAACTTAAGTTATTACCGTGTTTTTGCGTGCGTGTGATGGTGTCATATGTATTGTATTACTATAAAAATATATTTCCTAGTGGGCAGTAGTAGAGTATGGGAAATGTTTTCTTATGGGAATTTTCTTTAAGAAAACTTATTTATAAAACAACTTGAAAGACTGTTAAGAGAAAATCTGGTAAAACAATTAAAAATTTTGGGGGGTAGGGAGGGGAATCGAGTGCTTTGAAACTGATCCAACGAAACTTTATAAAATCGTTTTTAAAATTATGTTTTTAAATATGATTTTAAAATTACATCAAATCTTTCTGCTTTTTAAGCATTTTTTATATGCTTATCCAGAAGTTTCTTCTAATGTGAAAATGTTGATCTAAATATTAATTGATTTTCCCCCCATTATGTGCTAAAGAAACTCTGCCAGAGCAGAGAGCAAACAAATTAGATCTGAATTTAACTAGGCCCTGATAATAAGATCTAGTCAAATTGTGCTAGATAGTTCAGACTTTCTTGAAACTTACAGTGTGGTAGGGTAAAGTGGTTTACTTACTACAAGTCCCAGGATGCATTGCGATTTTTTTTTTTGCTTAACTCCAGATTGGAGCGTTGCATGCTGGGACCTGTAGTTGATTTATACAGCACAGGGAACCCTTCCCTCTTGTCTACTCCATTTTATACATAGCTTCCCAAGCCTCTAAGAACTTTCTGCTAAGTAAAGTTTGATTGCTAATGTCATAATTATTATGTTGCTGATATCCTAAAGTGAGTCTTCAGAAACACCTTCGTGTTTTAATTTATCTTAGTTTCTTTTTTTGTTTATCAGCTACTCCAAGATTTATATATAAAACAGCATATGTGTGTGTATATATATTTCAAAACTTGACCTAGAAATTGTAAATTTTTTTGTCTGTGATGATATAGGTCTTTTCATAATTACATCATTATTGATTGCTAGTATGGGCATTAGAAGCCTATTATTGTAGGGCTTGATATGTATATGCTATTCTATTTTATTTGAATGGGGATAGTTTATTCAGTATTTAAAGTTGAATGGAAGGATTTGTGTGTGTGTGTGTGTGTGTGTGTGCTAATATTTAAGTTCAGAGTGTTTTGATTCTTTAATAATTGTCAACATCTTGAATCAGTATTCTTTAAATGGAAGATAGAATTCTGAAAATAAAATTTTTAGTGTAAATTTAATACTTAAAGGTGTAATCTGAAAGGTAGAGAAATTTAATAATTTGCTCATATTTTCATTTATAAAATTTAAGTTTCTGTCCTGAAGGTTTTAATACTTTACTTTATTAACTAATATCAGTGTTGTTGCAGGGACTAAATGTTAAAATTTGTGACAGTGCCTAGCGCAGTGCCTGGAACATAATAAAGGCTCAGTAAATGTTTAGAATTTGCAGCAGCAGCAGCAGGAGTAGTAGTGGT